TTTTAGGCGGGAAATTTTTTCGTCTATATTTGAAATTTAATTAAAATTTATTTATTAGCAAATCTTATGCATGAAAAACATGTTATTTTTAATACACTCAGTGACTACTACTCAATAACTACAAATTGTATTAAATTGAAATTTTGACCGTAGTTTTATTAGATATATTTTCAATGAGATATTATATTAATTTAATAGTAATTTATTGACACAATTCAAAAAATTATTATGGAAATTGATTTGATTAAATATATTATCATCTATGGTCGTAGAAACTAATTTAGTTAATTATATTTACTCAGAAGCACTTAATATATATAATAAAATAATCAAAATGACTATGTTTAAATCACACTAACTTACTAAATAATTTAAAATATTAATAAAGGTTTATAAAATATAGTCAATTTAGTTATAAAAAGGTACATCCCTATTGAATACATTATATGCAGTGATAATACTATTAAAAATTTAAATAATATACTAATACAGATAAAATTTGATTGTGGGGTGCAACTTAGAATTCTAAATTTCACATTTGAAATATCTATGCACAGTAAAAAAAAGCTATTTAATTTTTTAAAAATATATAAGTTTTCTTTTATACTATTTTAAAAATATCTATATCTATATCTATATCTATATCGTTATCTATATCTATATAATGGACCAATCTTTATTATTATAATTGACATAGTTTTAGGCGGAAAAATATTTTCATTTATATTTAGCATATACTTCGCCTTTATCTATTAGCAAATTTTATACGTGAACATTAATTACTTTTTGTTTACTCATTGACTACTATTCATTAGTTATCAATTGAGTTAAATATAATATTGATTGATGACATATATTTTCAATAAGACCTAATATTAATTTCGTAGTAATTATTAACACAATTAAAAACACTATTCAAAATTTGAAATATTGATTTGATTAACTATATTATTATCTCATGGATGTAGATTTTAACTTTATTAAGTATAATAACCTATCAGAAGTACTTAAAATATCTAACAAATAATTAGAATAATTGTGTTTGAATCATATTAACTTAATGAATAATTTATAGTAATAACAAAATTTGCTAAAGTATAGTCAACATAACCATTAAAAAGTTTATGTTCATTGAATATATTATTTTATTAGATATACTATTGAAAAACAAATTTAATATATTAATAAAATTATTATTTGATGGTCGAGTGAAATTAAGAATTATAAACATTGGAAATATATGCATACATAAAAAATAGATTAAGTTGTAAAAAGCATATTCTTACTATATACTATTTAATAAAGAAAAATGAGTAAATAGGATAATATATATAGTCAAATATCATAATTAAAAATTATAGCATTTGATAATAATTGAAATATATAATTTATTTAAACATTTAAATTAGATATTAATACACTCATTATATATGTTGAATATATTTAGTAAATATATATATATATATATATATACGAAAAAATTTAAAATAAAAAATAAATAGTTTACTATGAAAAATGTGTTGCATAAGCGATTAAAGTTACTACAATTTAAATTTAATTATCAAACAATTATTATTTCATGCATCTAAAATTAGAATAACGTAAAATAAATTTTACGGTTAAAACATTAGTTAGCTATCGAGCATATGCAAAATATGATTTGTTAAAAAAGTTATAAAATTAAGATAATCAGTAATTTTACAAGTATTTGTAAGCCATTAATTGTATACAAACATCATATTTAATATCTAGATATCGATACTATTTTATAAAATTATAAATAGTAAGATTTATATATTAAATAGTCAAAACCTGTAAAATAAATTATAAAAGATATCCAAACAAAATTTATATTTATTACTGACTTGATATATTGAGTCTGGTACAATTATCATGTTGTATTAAATAAATTAACAATATTTTAATAATAAAATATTAATCTATAGTATACCCCGTGCATCGCACGGGTATCAATACTAGTTTTGTCTAATTAATAAGTTGGAGTAATTGTCTAAACTGTCTAAACAAATAAATAGTATGTGTCATTAATTCTTATTTACAAGAAAAAAAAAAAAAAAAAGGCGGCTGAGAATTTATTTGCTAGAGGAGTCTTGGTGATTTATTTCTATTTGGAGAGAACATAAGTCACGATACACTAGGGATCTTACTTAATGGGCTCATGGACCAATGTTTCTTCAGGACCAAAATTCATTTAATGGGCTCATGGACCAATGTTTTTCTTCAGGTTACCGGCAATGCACACAAAAGAATTTGTAGACCATAGGCCATAATGCAATACCTGCTTATTGGACTCCTATATATTGCTACAACTGGGCTTCTCTTGATTACAATTGGGTTTCTATTTGAAAGCTTCAATTCTATGTGAAGATTAATCATTAATGTAGTTCGTGCGCGAAATATAAGATTTAAAAAAAAAAAAAAAAACAATTTTACAATCGAGTGTTTCTAGTATTTATTTCACATAATTTTAAACTTATACATATAATTTCAAATAATTAATTGGCGAATTATGGGTAAAATGAGCCGGACAACAAAGTGTTATTTCTCATATTCGAGGTCATGCGCACTCATTTTTTTTTTTTTTTTTTTTTT